ACTGGGCTTTATTTTGGGGCTGACAAATTGTTGGAGGCAACAAAGTTGACATAAGCAGAGAGACAATGATGTGACGCCCACCAGCCCAGTGCAGGTGCCAAAAATGGTTACAGCCCGGCATTAAGAAATTCAGTTAAAAATTCCAGAATTCGGGCACGTCCCCCCGAAAACGTTTTATCAATTAATTGTCGATTGGAAATGTAATTTTATCTGGTACATTAACGCATTACAATAATAATAATAATAATAATTGACACTGAGCTGCAAGCAAAATGCCAAACATCCTAAAAGTTTTGCAGGATCAGTCCTTTACGAGTATCGTTTTCAATTATGGGCAATCATTTTTCAAGTTCGCATCGCCGCGGCACGCGACACAAATTAATAATTGAGCAGGCAAGCAGCGAGCAAGCAGTGCGGAGCAAGCAGTGCGGAGCTGAGCGGCAAGCAGTGTGTAGGATGCTGCTGCTGCTGCTGCTGAGGCTGAGGCTGGGTTGGCAAATCAATTTCGTTTCACTTTGATTGTACGCAAATCTTTTGCTGGGCTGCTGCTGCATGTTGCATGCAAATTAAGTGCAACACTTGTTGCCCATCACCCATCATCATCATCATCAGCAGCAGCAGCAGCAGCAGCAGCAGCAATTCGCTGCCACTTTCCCATTGTTGGACAGGAAATGCAACTGAAGATTTGGTCTCATCTCCGGCTCCAGCTGCTGCTGCTGCTGCTCTGTGACGGCCTGACACTGGCTCCCAATTTGTGCAGCGACTGGCAACAGGATGCTGTTTGCTTTTTAGCCAAAGAAAATTAGTGGACAGGTGCGCCGGTGTGCCAGGAAATAGAAAGGCCCACAGATAGTGCACAAAATTGGATTGGGCTTTATATTGCCTGAAATATTTGTCATAAATTGTAAATTATGGCACACAAAAAGCACAAAAAACGCAAAAGAAAATGCATAGAAAATTGATTCAATTAAATCATAATATTTGCAGCGCACAAAATCCACTGCCGAATGATCAATGGGCTGCACTTCGGAGTGGACTCCGGACACTGGACTCTTGTTGTGTCATTAGTAGTGGGGCAACCAGCAGTGAGTGGCGGTGGGGCGGTGGCAGGAAGGGCAAGCAACAACCGCATGAAATCACATAAATTAAAATAACTCTATTAACCTGAACAAATTTATTATTTCGACCAAAGGAATTTCTGTTTTTTTGTTGTGTGTGGTTGGCATGAGTACAGTAGGGACAGGGACAGGGACAGGGACAGGGGTGGTCCTGGGTGCGGGTGAGGGTCAGTTATGTATGGATTTTGCTCTGACAATGAAGCGCGTGACTTAAACAATGCAAAAGCGAATAAAGAGTTAGGTGGAGGGTGTGCAAAAAATAAAGATATACTCTGAAGCAGTGATAGAAGGAATAGTGGTACATCGGATGATGGAACGGCACACACACAGAGCGAGAGCGAGAGAGAGAGAGAGAACACGGAACAAGGAAAATTTTTAGTTGCTGCTTTTGTTGTGGCATCGCTCTCTCTCTCTGCCTCACTCTCTGCATACCCTACAAAAGATTTTTAACATATTCAGCAGCAAGGAAATCATATTGGAAGCCATGACTAAAAAATAATTTATGAAGAGAAATATATTAAAAAAAAAAAAAATCACTTCCAATTAAATGGATAATTATGGTGGAGAAATATGTAAAATATGAACGGATATTTAAAGTCTACATTAATCTATTTTATAGTTTTTTTGTGGAATAAAATTAAATTTTAAATCAATTTTTTACGTATTAAAAACTGTTAAGGTTAAAAAACTGTTAAAAAATAAATAGCACAAAAATTAAAATAAAATAAATCAATGCAAAAAAATGTATACACAAACTAAACTGATATTTGAAAGCGAAATGAATTAATTTGTAGGAATAAAAATATTTTTTTTTCTCTTTATATTTAAAATCTGTTTTTTTTTTTTAAATATGAAATAAAATATAAGATAAAATGTTGGCATATCAAAAACTCACTCGTTTTGCCAGGGTATCAAATGCTTCGTCACTGAAATTAGTTCATACTTTTTCCTGTTTTTCGTTTGTCGGCAAAATTTATTATCCTTACCTCCTGCTGTGGCGCCTCCACTACAGTGGTCGGGCTACCACCAGCTCCACCCAGCTGGCCACCCTTTAATTGTGCGCCATTTAAGCACCTGCTGTGAATCGGGGGCAGAGAGCTCTCTCCCTCGATGGAGGCTCTGGCTCTCCTGGGTGCCGCGCTCCACGCTCCACGCTCCACGACCTCTCTCTCCGAACCGAACAGAACAGAGCAGAACAGACCTCACATGTCCATACATCATTGTGCCGCAGAATGTTTATGACCCTTATGGCAGGGCGTACCCTCAACCTCTCCCTCAGTGGCCCCCTGCCCGCAGTAGCCCCCGACGAGCATTTAATAGTTTTGGCGCGGCATTTTCTCGTAATGCTTTATTTATTTTTAATCATAGAACAAATACGAGGCTGCCCCAGCCCCAGCCCCAGACCCAACCCACAGCGTTAGAAACAGCAAAAAATATGGCCCATCATTTGCTCAACGATATGTGCAAACAATTGGCGCATTAAAGCCGAAAGCGGAAAATAAATTCTCATTCAATTGAATGGAATCGAAGAGCACAGCGGCAGTGCGTGGCAGTAGGTAAAGGCCAGGATAATGGCTGGAATAATGGCCAAGGATCATGAACCTGCTCTCAAAATAAATCAACTCAAGCCCCGGGAATACTCGTAGCTGAAGCGTAATAAACTCATCATTAGAGACATTTACTTGATGATGGCACAAAACTTAGCGCAGGGAATGGAAAATGTTCAACAAAAGTTGTGGAAATCAGCAAGGAATTGAATCAAATAAACTGCCATCGGATAAAAGCACAATTTGGAGTATTCAAAAACAAAATAATTAGCACTGAAACCCTCGGGGCGGTTCAGTCAGTTTTCAGTCTCTCTTTTTTCTGGCTCTTTCTCGTTTGCCCTCCATTTCTCCTCCAGCAACATTTCTAACCCACCGACATGTTATAATTATCATCAACGTTCTTGTTGCTTGCTCTTTGTTTGTTTTTATATTTAAATAGCCATTTGATGGCCACAATCCCAGAGCTCCGCCTGTCATATGCAAAGTCAATTAATCAATCATTTGATGTTGTAGGAAAAATGCAGCAAGCTGCAACTGCGACTGAGATTGTTTCCAGTTTTCCCCTTCAGACAAAATGTTACCAAAATGCAGCAGAATTTCTCGACTTAAAGTTTTGTTTTGAGCCACTGCTGAGCTACCTTATGATCTCATGATCAAAGCCCCCAGTCCCCAGACCCCAGACCCTCAGAGGCACACATTTTAATCACAACTTCCTGCATGAATTTATATTTTTGTATCTTTTATAGTTGTATTTCCCCTCTCTATTTTTTCATGTCTGTCTGTGCGTTGTTCATTATTTATTTTTAGTCTCTTTTTTGCTGCCCCTGGGCCGGGGCGTGGGAAAAAGCTACGAATCTCGACTGTCTCCGCGGAAGACTTCAAATCGGTGGCAGAGTCTGCAAAGAACGTGGAGGAATATGCGACGAAAATTGTACGAATATTAGAGACCAAAATATGGCTTACAATTTTGGCATTTCAACATTAATTTCAGCTCATTACAAGTATTCAACTAAACCTTTGTGTTCCCCTCCTCACACTGCCAGTATTTGGCACTCGCACAATTTCAGTTCGCTTGGGCAGGACAATTGTTTTTTGGGGGGGGATTGTGGCGCGCACATAATTCATGTAAAGCCGTGAAACTGCAGTTTGACAATCGCCAAGGGGTTATGTGCCCCAGCTCATGCTCCTTCTCCTAATACGCATAAATTTAATCATCTTTATGGGTTCGACTGCCCGCTGTTCAGCGTCCCTTGTCCACTGTTCCCTGTTCCCTATTAGCTGTCCCCAGTCCAGTGTAAACTGTTCCCGCTCCACTGTTAACTCTCCCCCATCCAGTGCTGCTGGCTGATTGCTGATGGCGAACAAAACTAAACACTTTTAAGCTCATCAATTTTGTCAGCACAAAGGGCCCACTAACAAAAGGCACAGCCGAAATTGGCTGCGACTCATTTGAATATTGATATGATTTCGATATTGGCTTCGTGGTTCGCATTAATTAAGAGCCCAAAAATTAGCGCTCGTGTTAGGCGCGTGCGCAGAGCAAGTTCATCTTGTATCGGATATTTAACCATGGCTATGGCTGATCTCTGCGATCGAGTTGACATTTGCACATTAATCCGCCATCAACATAGGCCGTGTGTAATTATTGGACTCTCGCTCAGACCTGAACATAAACTTAAGCGAACTCTGAGGAATGGAGCAGTCGTATGGGACAATAACAGAGGGCAGGAGAAGCTTAATTATTGCTGTTCCGACCAGCAGTGCTATTAACAGCCCAGAGCAACAGAATGTTAGCGCTCCATGTTAACAGCCTGTTAGCGAAAGGCCGCTGTTAGACAACGCTCTGTTAGCAGTAGCTCGCTCTCCCGATCGGCCTTGGCCTTGGCTTGTAATGGTCTTGCGTAATGAGTTTACACACCAAGTAGTTGTTGTTCCCTTAGCCCACTGTGTGCTACACAGTGCTATTAATGTAAATCCTCATGTAAATGCTCTTTTCTATGGTTTGAATACAATTTAATATTCCATTTTTGTACATTTGTGTAGATAGATGTCATGTTATTTGTGTAAATGTTAGTAAGTAGGAGTAAAAATTGTACAATTAACGATGATCAGAGTGCGATAATTCGATATCAGTGCTTATCTGTTGTCTGTGTGTTCCGGTGTCAGTGTATATCTGTGGTGTATGCATGAAGGTGTGTGTGTTCCGTTCTTCCCTTTGGTGCATTTGACTAGAATGTGGTTTTTGTTGTTCATCCTTGGCAGCATCATGGAGTGTGTGGATTACTGCGGGGATAATTTCAATTAGGAAAATGTTTGCTTGTCTTTTTGTACTTACTTAATCACGAATGTTCAGGATCGATTCCAGACGGGGTCCGACCGAAACAGAAATATACTTGAATTTCTTGCGGATGGACAACAGCTCCTCCTGTTCGGCCTTGAGCGGCAGCTGAGCCATGCGCAGGACGGTGGCTCTCAGTTGGAGAGACGTGTAACGGGAGCAATCGGCGAGCTGGCGTGTCCAGAGACTTTCGTCGAGGCCACCGTCGGGGGTGCCGTCGGACAGGTTGAGCGCGATGAAGAGCGCAGCAGCGGCTATCTGCGATGGCTTGACGCTGGCCAATTCGGTGTCCATCAACGCCAGTTGCACATAGTAATGCGCCAGTTGTTGGCATTTCATACCAAAGTCCTCCGTGGCATTACACAAGCGCTGCAAAAATTGGCTCGGCACCGGACGCGATATATCACCCTTGAATGCCAGCAAAATCTTCAACTCCATGTCACTAATCATTTCGTCCGTGAAGCCTTCGTCCGTGTGCTTCAAAAACCATTGATTGTATGTCCGTGGATTCTCATACTTGCTGGCCAAGATCAGGGCACTGAGGCCCATCAGATTGAGATCCGAGGGCAGAATTTCCTTGACCCACTGCAGATAGCGATCGATAATGCCGATGGCCATCTNATTCCAGACGGGGTCCGACCGAAACAGAAATATACTTGAATTTCTTGCGGATGGACAACAGCTCCTCCTGTTCGGCCTTGAGCGGCAGCTGAGCCATGCGCAGGACGGTGGCTCTCAGTTGGAGAGACGTGTAACGGGAGCAATCGGCGAGCTGGCGTGTCCAGAGACTTTCGTCGAGGCCACCGTCGGGGGTGCCGTCGGACAGGTTGAGCGCGATGAAGAGCGCAGCAGCGGCTATCTGCGATGGCTTGACGCTGGCCAATTCGGTGTCCATCAACGCCAGTTGCACATAGTAATGCGCCAGTTGTTGGCATTTCATACCAAAGTCCTCCGTGGCATTACACAAGCGCTGCAAAAATTGGCTCGGCACCGGACGCGATATATCACCCTTGAATGCCAGCAAAATCTTCAACTCCATGTCACTAATCATTTCGTCCGTGAAGCCTTCGTCCGTGTGCTTCAAAAACCATTGATTGTATGTCCGTGGATTCTCATACTTGCTGGCCAAGATCAGGGCACTGAGGCCCATCAGATTGAGATCCGAGGGCAGAATTTCCTTGACCCATTGCAGATAGCGATCGATAATGCCGATGGCCATCTCAAAGACCCCGTCACACAAGAGCAGTTTGGAGTGTACAGCATGGACCCAGTTGACGAGAACGCTGCGCCTATTGGGTGTCAATTTTGTATGTGATACCATGTGGTTCTCGAGTATCGGGAGCGTGCTCTCCCCCAGGAACAGACGATAGAAGTTTTCCTCGGCGCAGGGATGAAAGAGATCGATATATTCGGTTTTCTGAGAGGGCGGCTTGGAATCGAACAAGCTGGTGCACCAGCACTCGCACACGCGTAGGCCCCGATAACTGCGTTTGTTAGAGATTTTGCCGCATCGCTTACAATGACTCATCTTATCGTCATATACCCAGAGTTCAGGCCACATGTTCGATGTGTTCGATGTGTTCGACGTGTTCGATGGAATTGGGTCCTGCTGCGGATCCGTCATGTTCGGTTCGAGCTCGTCGCGACTCGGCGGTTCCGGTGTGGCGGACTCTTCGCGAAAGCTAATGCTGCTCTTCTGCCGAATTAGACCATCCTGGCATAAAAGCATCACTTTCTTTGCGTTACCCAATAAATTGTTTAAGTAACGTTTAATAGGTACTTTCTTTTTGATTCCTTTAATCAACTTTAACGGCATCTTCCGATGCTTGAACGGACCCCTCATGTAGCGAACGTATTTTGAAAAATATTCAGATATTTTGAATTTGCCCGACATTTTGGTGCTAAAAGTTTTGAAATAAGCTTGCATTTTATCACAGATATTTGTTGTTAAACTACTTGTTAAAAACATTAAAACTGTACACACATATCGGGGCTCGGCCCGGCCCCATCTATTGTGCATGGGACAAGGCTCTGCCGCTCACCTACACGTGTATCTCAGTGATTCGTACCAATGCCGCCAATGTATTGGTATTCGCACACATATATACATATGTGTGTGTGTGTGTGTGTGTGTGTGTGCATGCGAATAACTCTGGGATCAGGCATTTTGTATTGTTTCTGCAAAACTAAACGAAAGGGCACAGCTGTGTAAGCAATACAACAAAATAAAATCTTGCACCGGCATTTGCAAAGCACTAAAATGGTCGGTTCTAATTGCTAGACAATTCGATTCTAAAAGCGTTCTAATTTGCAAGAATCTTGTTGTGCCTGCGACTGCACGAACAGTTAATGGAATTGAAGCTACTTACAATTGTTATTTGCTTCTTTTTTTTTTAAATTGAAATCTCCGTAAATCTGACTTGCACTTCTAGAAATGAAACTGGGAACTGGACATTCAGTTTGGTTATCGATAAAGCACTGAGAGCAGGCGTTAGGGAATTTTGTATTTTCAATTTAGCTTGAGATCAATTTATCCGGAATGGAATGATGGAATGGGTACACAAATGTGTTGATGGTTTCATCATAATTAATTGTTCCAAAAAATTATGTTATGTTTGTTTGCACAAACTTTTTGTTTGTTGCAAAAATAATACGAAATAAAACAACTAAAACATGGAACCAATAAGAAATTGTTTCCCATATTCGCACTAAGAAAAAATATCAGCAACAGATCAAAGATGAAAGTTACGCGCCAGAAACCGCCAATTGGGCATTACAGAAAAATATTTCAAGCTCAATTAATTAATTAGTTTGAATAATTAAAGACGCAGATGATGGAAGCTAAGGTCTCTGCAGGCGCCACTCAAATTTACAGCGAAGAGAGCTTCACTTCTGGGTGCTTCATACATAAATATGTAAATATGTAAATATGTAAATATGTAATCTTGGGATATGCAAACAGTTGCATGGCGAGGGCGAGTTCGGGGGCGTACTGATTAGCCAATGGTCCATGGAAAGAATGGCTCAACGAAAAATCCAAACAATGAATCGGTGTTCTCAGCGCATAAAGCGAAAGATCAATGAAAAGCAATGAATGAAACGAATGAATGAATTAATATGGGGGGAGGACTGGCGATGAACTCAATGGCAGGGCACAGTGCTCCCTTTTGTGGGATGCCCTATGCCCCGTGCCCCGTGCCCCGTGCCCCGTGCCACAATTAAGTGCAGAAGCTGCCAAATTGCCCCATTGTCGTTGCTAAAATGCAAAAGCAGCCCAGCCCACGTTCAAACAGCAAACAAAACAAAATAAATAATTACACCAACAACAACTCATTTAACTAATAATTGACTTGTTTTGTTAACATATTTCTCTCTATGGGGGTTTGTCTTTTGGAGCATATTGCAGCGAAATTATATGGTAAGTCGTGGAGGGTGCATGAGTGTTATTGTGCGGGGAAATGCCACGCAAAATACTCTCCACAGCCAATTCAAAGAAGAGCCAAAAAAAACTACAAGACTGAGTAGCGGGTATAAAAGTTGTGACGCGTAAGAAGCGTCTCACACGACCCTTCAGTTTCATTATAAGAACGAGAAATTATATTTTGAAGGATTACATTTTTGTGATTTGTGCATTTACTTACAAGAATCTTGTATCTGGTCGCTTTAAAACAAATAAAATAAACAAAAAATGTAAAATTAAATTAAAACCAACTTCGGACAGTAGGAGATTGCATATCCTTGAGACTGATGGTCCAGCCAAATGCTGACATCTTTCTGGAATGATCCATAGAGCACTTTGCTTGACATGAAACAAAAAACACCAGCGATAATCACGGCAAATCTCGGCGTAATTTCTGTGGCTCCCTCTCTCTCGAACAACAGCAACAACAAAATAAAAGCAATCTCGGTAACAACAGTTACTCAACTTGGCTAACTGCTAGTCAGTTGGGGCAGACATTCCGCCAGTTGGCCACATGGCAAAAAGCATTCAGTCAGCCAGTCAATCAATCAGAGTTTGACCAGGCCAGAGCCAGAGCCAGAGCCAGAGCCTTTCTGGTTGTACAGCTGATTTTTCTCACAATAATTTGTAGTCCGCTAGGCTTTGTCAGAGACACCTGCGAAGACCCGAGAGTCCAAGGGGAGTACGCTTGAAGGTGGCCAAATATGAGCAGAGGCAGCGCGTCCCAGTGCCCATAAATCTGTGGAGCAACTTTCCAGTTGGCTGCTTAACAATTTTCCACACGCGCACGAAACTGAGACCAAGACGATGCCAGTGCCAGTGCTGGTTGCTGGTTTCTGGTTGCTGGCCAAGGAGCCACACCTGAGATGTGGACGGTACATAGTACGTTCCATGGGAACGGCCTACGCTCCATATACAATATTAACTGACTACTCCCCGATACACTCCTCTGGGATAATGTGTAATAGTTCTATTAGTCGCATGTTGGCGAGTCTCTGGTTACAGCTAATCTCTTTCGCTACCAACTTTGGCGCTGTCTCTGGCTGTCTCTCTCGGTCTGAGTCTGCCGCCTCCTTCTAAACGCCTCTCATTGCACCTCCCATGAGAACCAAGAACCGGCTGCAACCAGCAACAAATTTATTGTCGACTTTTTTTTGGCCTGAATAGTTTATGGCTGGCGCCTCGACGACGTTCGTTGTGAGCCGTGCGGCTCTCATTGCCCAATTTGGTGGGCCTGGTGCGAACCGGTTCGTGGTTAGTCCACGGGGCATTTTGGATATTGTTTTGCCGTTTTGGTAACTCGTTAGTTTTATGGGGCAGCAAGGCAGCCAGGCAGCCAGGCAGCCGTCAACGGTTTTGATTTCTAATTAAAACGGAAATATGTATTATAGGCCACGGATAAGACTCGCCGCAATTGATTTGAATGGCAGTTGTTATGAAGATCCCAACAGATGATTGATGAAAGCAGTCAAATAACCCGAAACTAGATACTGTCAAAGCACAGACATTTATCGTTTGTCTATTTGAAATTTCGAGCTGTCACCCATCAGTTTTCATTGCCCCTCAAAAACGGCCAAAAAACTATTTACGAGCGAGCATCGATCGTTGGGGGTTTTTTTTTTTTGTATTATTAACAATTTTTACGCATTTGAGATCCGCGTTCGCCTTAGAATTTTATGGCACCTGCCATGAAACGGCTCCACCTCGTATAATCTTTTTGTTCAACTTCGGGTTTGGGTTGAGGGTTTTGCCCCGCTAAGAATTGAGCTGTCCCTGCGTTTTATGGCCACTTTATCGCACTTCCACCATAAAACTGTCAAATTTTGTACAAATGAAATGCATTTGACAAACGGTTTGTTCATTGTTGGCTCAAATGGGAAAGATCGAGCAGCGCGGAGAACGACCCACGCATGCCGAGCGGCAGCTTACAGCAAACTCCATTGTCAAGGCGGCAGAAACCCAACCGATGTCGAATCGTATTTGGGTCCGTTAAGCGGCAGCCCACAAAGTTCTTCCTCTGTCGCTGCGGCGGTTATCTGTTATCTGTTATCTGTTATCTGTTATCGGTTGTCGAAAGCACATAGAAAACCAAGCTGTCTCTGAGATCTTGTTGGGAAATTGACTATTTATGGCGACAATTTGGGATGGTGCCGAGCTGTTAAGCTTCGCATTTCATGTCAGCAGTCAGCCAAGCCATCACTTAACCAGCTCCAGCAGAGAACTCTGGGCAAACCACACACATCTGCATTTCGGGAATGCGACAAAGAGAATCAGAGAGAGCGACTACTGGTGGCTGTGCCCGCAACTGTCACCAATAACTTCGGGCGGCTGTGGCTTAGGCAGCGAATGCATCGAGTGCACTCCCTGCCCATCCGTATCCACTTCCACTTCCACATCCACTTCCACATCCACTTCCACCTGGCACCACACATACCTTAACCACACTCACAGCACCCAAAACCATTCCACTGTGGAGTCTTATGGAACTGCTACCAGCTCCGCTCTGCTCTTTTGTGCATTTTTAGGGCTACGCGCCGCAAAAACCGCAAGAAATCAATTCCAAGAAATTGTTTGTCTTCCGCTGCTGCTAGGGCTAGGGCAGATACAAATACACACAGCTGGATATATAGAAAATAAATCGGGTGCATTTCGCACGCTTCATTTGGGGAAAAACTGTTTCGCATTCTGATTCGGATGTTGGTCTTCTTGGCTCTCGGAGTGGCTCCCATTATTAATGGTTGATTAACACGGCATGAGGTGTTGAGGCTTTGATTGTTCTCTCTTTGGGGTTTAATTTCATCATCAGCGCTGGAAGAGAAAATCAAAACCAAGTGGGCCAATGGGAAGTAAAACGCGGACACGGGACACGGGACCCCGGACACATGAGTTGAACGAAAAGCGAAATCAAAACGAAAAGTTTATTAGGTGCGGAAATTCGAGGCGTGACATTAAGTGTCTCCGCTTATGTTTATGTATACAAATGTACGAAGTATGTATGCATCTGGTGGATGTACATATTATCTCCTTCTCCACTTTTGCTAATGACGCTAATGACGTTTCCCCTCACTTTTTGGTTCCACGACACAAATTTATATTTTTTGCCCAAATTCTAGTATTTATTTTTAAATAGTTTGAGTCCAACAATAAGACATCAATTGGTTTAGTTTGGACTTGAAAAAGACTTTAAAATATGGTCCCACAGGTTTCGGGGATCAAAGCTATCGATGTTCGATAACGCTGTCATCGATATTCAGCCAGCTGTGCTTACGATTAAGCTTCATTTCCTTCTTCTTTACAAACATTCGCACGCACTTAACAATTTTGCACAAATGAATAACCCCTTTTGGGCATTGCCTTCCGCCTACCTGGCGCCCTGGAAGGGTCGACGGACGAGTGACGCTTTCCAGCGCGTGGCGTGTGTTTGACCTGCGTTCCCGGCAAAGTTGCGCTCCGTTTTTTGTCACGTGCTTCGCAGTTGCGCTGCAGAGCATCTACAGATTTGTTTGCTTAATAATATTAAGCGCATCTTTATGTGTATTTGCATAGACTAAAGTCTTATTTTTGTTGCATGTGTCACCGAACATTGCTGCCCGAAGTTCTGGACAGCGTTGGAACTCCCGCTGCAAGGCAGTGCATCCAGTGTGAGTTGCGTACCGCGGTACCGTCATAGTCTAAGTTCTCATTCGTCTCAATGGTAATGGAGTGTATGTACATAATATGTATGTAAATGGGTACATAATGTGTGCATGTGCAGCAGGTACATAGTCTGATACTTTGTTGCACAGTTTAGCCTCGAATGGAATGAAGTATTTGTTGGTGCCATATATGTTAATGTTTTAAATTTAGTTCCTAGAACTATGCACATAACAGAAACGTTGCTAATTTTCCAGCCATTTGTTGGTGAACATTTTTATACCCTTGCCG